TGGCTTGTTTATATTTTATATATTAAGTTTAAAGATAGTTTGTCATTATCACATCGATGTTAATGACACTTAATATTTAATTACAAAATAATTATCCAACTTAGTGAAGACGAAATTTACGGAAAAGTTCGTGCCAAAATTACAGGGCTCGTGTTATGTTCTACTTACAAAAAGATCAATTTGTCATTCCAACATTTTAAAGTCTAATACGTTTTTTTTTTATTTCTTTCCAAAAATAAATTTAAAATTCAAGTTACACAACACGAGCATGTGTCATTAAGTATTATTCACATTTTTCTAAGTGTCAGTTTAAACTTACAAAAATACAACTATTACATCGAAAATTAGTGAGATGACATTTTTAAATTAACATTCTTAAAAGCATTTTAAGTAAGTTAATTTAAAATGTGTGAACCTCTAACATAACTTTTACTCAGTTAAATTTCCTGTTATACTTTCAGTGTTTTTCCGTGTGACTAAAATTGACAAGAATAAAAGATCAAGAGTGATAAAAAATCAAGTTTACAAAAACATGACCTTATATTAATTCAAGAAAAATGACATGTTTTTTATTTTTTATCAAACTTAATGACTTGGAGTAATATTCGAGAGTTATTTTTCATCTTTTACCACCCTCTAGGATGTATAAAGTAAAAGTATATATAGCCATGTGCAGCGACACCCTTCTTTCTTTGGGTCTTTCTTTCAGCATTACTTAAACTTCACTCTCGTGACCCCATTGCCACCCAGCGCGCGTTCCGTCTCAAGAGGGTCGTTATCCCGGACAACAAGAGGTTTAAGAATAAAATCGAGCTCTCCACGATTAACTCAACACTTTACTCAGTGGTCTTTTACCATTATTTTTAAAAAACACCAAATACCATACTTGCTGGGAAATACCTACCGACGAAAACAATAAAATGTTTTAGCTTAAATACTCTTTAAACTTAAAGAGTATTTATTCTTTCTCTTATTTTATTTTATTTTTCCTTTATACATCACTATCTCTGAAATTTATTTACAAGTTGTTGTTTTTTTTTCTATTTATTGTTATTATTATTAAAAGTTTATCGTTTTTAAATGTACTGCAGACTTTGTCAGTAATAAATCATGAGGTGTGAGAAATGAAACGGGACCGAGAGCCGGTTGTCATGGCGCTTCGTCCCAGAACGACTCGAGAATACAGAAGTAGTATATATATAGTTAAATAATTGTAATGTAAGTAGTGGTAGTATCAGTAGAAGTAGCTTCTAAGAGAGTAAAGAAGAAAATTAGGAATTTCACAGGCATAAGTACAGCATGTAGTGTAATTTAGATCGCTCTTTGCTAACTATATGCAGCAAGTTTCTTTGAAACCTTCACCTTACATTCTCATCAGCTCTTATATCTACCGAGGATGATTAACGTACTTCTCTTACACTTAGCTCACTTCCTATTCCTCTGTATTAAACTCCTTTATTGCTATTTAATAATAAATATTCCTACAAGCAAACTATTTAATCAGAGTAACTTATTTTTCAATTAACTCGAGTTCTGTTAACTTTTAATTACCATACGATCTATCAGCATAAATAAAGATTTATTATTTTTGAATACTGTTACATGTAAATGGTAGATAAATAAGCCTCAGTGATGAAAAAATTCCGATTTATCTATATAAGGTGTTTATAAATCACTTAAATTAACTCGACTGTCTCTGATCTGGCGAGAGAAACGAGAGAAACGAGAGAGAGAGAGAGAGAGAAGAGTATTTGCACGGTGATATCTGAGTATGGAGCTCAGCATCAGGCAGTCAACCAGTCAGCCGCAGAGAACCTGATGTTGGAGTGGGTCAGGGAGTTTCAACTGAGCAGTACATGCCTTGTGTCCGTGGACATCCTTTACTACTCCCATTAGTCTTATTGCAATCCCGGCAATTCACTCGACAACATAGTCAAAGTTGTCTAGACAAACCCGTTTTCACCGAGAGTCCAACCGCAAAACCAAAGCATTAAGAGTCTTCGTCGAAAATCTTACACTCCGACGGCATTTTCTTAACGACTTAGGTCAACTCTTTTTGCAAGCTCATTTATTACAATAGACCACTGTAATATTAAAAACCTCTATTCATGCACATTGATTCTAACTCGCCAATAAAACACATACAAAAACTCAAATAAAGGTAAATCGTTATCTTTTTGTCTCTTTTATCTGGTTTAATGTCTGTGTCGCTTCAAGTTGATTTCCCCGCAGACCAAAAAGCTAGATTTCAAAGTCGAACTGCAAGAAATACATTTTATTCTATTTCTGTTTTGTTTTACTTTTATACCCATCTCTCCTCTCTTTTGGTCTTTATCTACCTCTAGTTGTTTATTTTTGCACGAGGTATCCGTTCGCAGAAACGTAGTTGTAGTCGTGTCGTTTTAAACAAAATTGTCGTCACTATTGAGTCGTTGAGTCGAGATTGTGTGCTTTATAGTCGACTCTAGTTCTTTACCGGTGCGTGTTCTGGTTGCGCAATAAAAAACATAAGTTTTCACATATGTGAGCAACTTTAGACAATGTTATCCTGTAACCTTTAGACAGAGTCGACTGTACACCATTGCTATGCTACATGTCGCATGGCTACTCAGTTGTAATGATGCGCTTTCCAAACAATTTACTGTCCAGTTTTTTTCTATTAAATTGTTAATTTCCGTTCACTAGTGTGTATGCAAATTTTACAGTACATACAAACTATCTATTATAAATTAAATGATGCCTCATTTAGACTCCTAGGAATAGTAAGTATCGATACATTTTTATTTCGCAGAACGTCTTCATGTTGATCGTGAGTTTCAATAAATAATGCTTAATGTAATTAATTATTTAGTGGCGTAAAAACGTTGTCGGCTCAAATAAGATATATCTTCTTCTTTATATGACTTTCCGATAACTCCTGGATTTCTCGCTTCCTATTCACATCCTTCTATCATCGAACTTCCGTTCATATCGACAGCTTTCTCGCGTATATGTGCATCCGTAGAAATATACGTACATACTACTTTGGCCTGGTCTGATCTGGTCTGCTCTACTAGTTACTACTATATCCCAGTACGGCGATGTATACCAACTCCGAGTATAGTACTATGTACGTCTCAATGAACCGCAACACGATTGGCAGTTCGATACGTCGGCCATTGAAACGCAAGATAAATCGAGCTGTCGACAACTTCTTCGTATTATTTTTATTTCTCTCCAACACTTTTCTCTTTTCCTGTGTTCTTTACTCCAATTTCTTTCTTCTCTTTCTCCTTGTCTGGTATTCTTGTCTCTTTATTCTATTTTTTATTTCAATTTATCTCCTTTTACACAAGTTAACTCTTAGCTTTTAATTTATTATCACGAGTAAAGTCTTTCGAGTACAAATATATATACATAATACGATAATCCGCGACTAATTAAATCAATTATTTAAAATAAAAAGATTTTATAAAATAACAACTGTTGGTTTGACTAGGAATATTTGGAATTATATGTTATATGATATATCTTTTGATGAAAAAATACCTGTCGAAATTTAAATGAACCATTGAGCGGCTCGTTCTCTTTGTTTTGTTAACTGTGAAATCATTTCGTGTTTAATTAAATGGAAGCAGAGCGAGTAAAATAAAAGGTTTAAAAATATAATAAAAGTGAATAACGTTAACTAAGAAGAGAGAAAAAAAATTAAATGAAATAAAAACAAACAAGTTATGTCGAGTTTAACCAAGTGAAACCGTGTCAAACACTCGAGGGTTGAAAGTCACACAAAAGTATTATTCATAAGGGAGTATAGTTAACAGGATGAGCTTGAGTTGAGCAGTCATTTAGATTATTATCATAAACTTTATTCTTTAAATAAAAAAATATTATAATCACTTGTTATAAAAATGCATGCTACGACGATAATGAGCTCGTAAATAAACAGGTCCGAAAAAGACTTAACGTTTTAAGCTACCTTTTCTCTTTTACATACATCGTATACATTATACACACAGCTAAAGTAACTACACATACATAATATATGTATACACTTTGATAGTCTTTAATCTTACACAAAGCACATTGTTTAAGGAAACTTTACTCTGATATTAAGTTGCTCGAGTAAATTTTAATAGCTACTTACAAATTTTTTTTTATAATTAATATATGGCCATTATTATATATTTTTTAACTGCAAAAAATTTTAAAAAGTAATAACTAATAAAAGCGAAATAATCGTGACCGAAAGTGTGTCCTAAAGTGAAATAAAAGAGTAGAGCGGGTTAAGGGGCCAGTGAGGTGTAGCGGGGTGTGATGCGCAAGTTGGATAAAATAGCGTGAGCGAGTGAACGAGAGATATAATAGCAAGTGTGTTGTGTGGGTAACGAGAAAGAAAATAAAGGATAGTGATACTTAGAGTATATACAGTGGAAGCTTGCGTGAACACGACAAGACAAATACAAGAGGATGAAGATTAATGTTGCCTGACGCGACCATGGCACCAGTTGTCTGTTTCGTGAGAAACTATCTTTCGGCAGTGCGCACCCCGTGTTACAATTCCGACCGCCACTCGACCCAATACCTATATCTATACTCTGTTAGCTCTACACACAAGTCTCGATCGATCTTGTATAATATACACATCCATACACACACTCTTATTCTTATCTCCCTTTAGTTTATTACAGCGCACATAATAATGCCCACATGTCACCAGAAATTATCTCTCAACATGACCCATGTTATGACCAACTAATAAACATTAATATAATGCTCATCATCTTTCAAATTATTTCTCCCTTCTAACGCTTTATCTAATTAATTATTCTAGAATATATTTTTTTATTAATAAAAATGATTATTTAATACAATAATTATATGCCTCTAGCACGAAATGCAGAGATTAAGTTTTACTACCGCTTTAAATAAATTAAAAAAATTTACACAATTCAAATTATTCAAACTTAAACTCAATTAGTTTATTAATTTCTGTTCACAGATCCGTGAGTCGGCGTGACATGGATGTGAGCTTTACGAACGTGTTAGAGGGGGCTCGCCAGTACTTTCAGGGACTGCCCGCGCCAAGTACAACAGCAGTACCACCTATATCCTCGTCCTCGTCATCATCGTTGTCGTCGTCATCGGATAAAAATAACGAGAGTAATGGATATACGAGCCAACAGCACTCTAAAACACCCTCCAGTGATTCAAGGTACGACGAGAATAAATCGACTGACGCTAGAGACACTGATTCGTACTGGAATTCCCCAAACAATCCAAATGAATTACGGGCTATTGTTGAACCTTATCCACCTCAACCAACGCGTGTTGAGGTATCAGACACGAGGCCCGACGACGGGGGACCCGATGGTGCTCCCAATAACAGTAAAAGTCTAACGGAAATGCAACCGCCAAGTAGGCCTCAATCCCAAAACGTTACAGCTGCCAGTCCGTCCCCTAAGCTGCTGCACCAACTCGAGCCGCAGCTAAACCCACCACACTCGCCGCCCGTCTACCAGCAGCTCAATACTGTGTCGAGAAACTCCTCATATCAGACCCCCGAGATGTTTAATTCACACTCGAATTATCACCCCAATCATCATCACCAGTCGCCAAGCACCACTGGTCCAGGTGAACGTCCACCTTCCGCCCCGATAGTTGCTGCCGCAGTGGCAGCAGCTGCAGCGCAAAGGACGCAGTACTACCCTCGTTATCACCATCCAGACATAACTAAAAGTGCTCCAGTTCCTTTTTCGCAGAGCAGTATTTATCAATCGCCACAAACAGCTACTTATACGCCGACTTCCGTGGCTCAAATGCAACAACAACAACAACACCAACAACACCAACAACAGCAGCAGCAACAACAACAACAGCTGCAACAACAACAACAACAACAACAACAACAACAACAACAACAACAACAACAACAACAACAACAACAACAACAACAACAACAACAACAACAACAACAACAACAACAACCACAGCAGCAACAACCACAAACTAACTTAGATACAAATCAACATCACCAACCGTCTAATTACCCGGCATATCAAGGAACAAACAACAATCGCGACCAGTCAAACCGTCCAGGACTGCCTCAAAACTCAAACAATCAACCGTCGTTGTTACACCATCAAATAGATGTAACGCATTCCTCAACAGCGACCTCTTCAAATCCTTGCAGTTCACGACACGGCAGTCAGAGTCACATTCCTTCCTCGCAGCACGGACATCCAGGGCACGTACCATCGCCACATTTGCCGGTGGCATCAGTACCACCACATCATCATCAGCAGCAGCAGCAGCAACAGCAACAGCAACAACATCTGCAAAACCAACATCCTAGTCGAATGAATACGTCATCCCATATCACCTCTAATTCGTATCCCCGAGCGACAAATGCTTACCCGTCGGCTCATCCTCCCCCGATGGTAAATGTAAATCAACAGCAAATGCTACCACCCTCCTCGTCATCCGCCTCCTCATCCTCGTCGTCATCAACAACATCAAGTTATCATTCAGCGACGGCGGCTTCACCTCACGAATCGAATCATCACGCCAGTCCATCATCCCAGCGGCAATCACCGCACGTTACAGTTGTCCACAATCCACACAACGCTATTTCTCCTCATCACCATACTCCCTCGCCCCACCATCATAATACCACACCCTCGCCCCACAACACCGGAAATTTCCAGCCTCATTCGCCGACCTATCCGCCCCCACCGCTACCAACTCGCTCCCCGGTTCATCCGTATGGACTTACTGCCGTGTCCCAGCAACATCATCGACCACCTTCAGCAAATTATCCTGCCAGCGCTTATTCGCCGCATCAGCACCAGCAGCAACAGCAACAGCAACAACACCAGTCTTCGTATCATTCCTACCAAAAGAATTCGCAAAGCGGCGTTTATTCCCAATCAGCGCCGCGATCGCAGCCACACCACCCGTACAGTCAACAAACATTAAACCAACCGACACCGCCTCTACCGCCAGCATCGACTAGTTCCACTAGCAATCATTTAAATGGTGTCTCTCCTTATCTGACATCGCCCAGTAAATCAGCTGATATTTACAATGGTGGCACTATTGATCCAAAACGAAATACTACTGTTGCTGCTAATCAAATTACATCGTATAATGCTAATAATAATAACAATAATAATAATAATAATAATAATAATAATAATAATAATAATGGTAATAACAACAATAATAGTAATAGTAGCTCATATCGTATGCCAGCAGTGTCACAGAGGAATACCAACACGCACAATTTACCCATTACTGCGATATCGTCTTACCACTCAAATAGAAATTCACGAGAAGCTGTAGGTAAAGCTCAAACTATTTCACGACAACGTGCTCCAATGATTGTACCGAGTAGTAATAGCAATAATAATAACAATAATAGTAACAGTAATACCATAAGTAGTGGCAGTGGAAGCAGTTCAGTATCACAGTCAACGGTACATTCTCCTCGAGGAATACCTACGTCAGACTATCAATTAAATTCATCATCAAATGTCATTCATCCTGTAACCACTACAAGTTCCGGCTATAATAATAATAATAATAATAATAATAATAATAATAATAATAACAACAATAGTGTAAACACCTCATACAGTGGATCAAATTACAGGAATTTAGCGACAACCATAGCACCGAGTCACCATGGTAATAACTCTAGCACAACGGTAACATCAATTACTGTGCCAGATCGTTCTTCAGCGCCGTCCGCCGTTACAACAATACACGCACGTCCGTCTTCCGATCCAGCGACTAAAACCAGTGGTGCTTATCAACACTCTGCTTCTTCTTCGTCATCCTCAGTCACAAATACCGCTGATAATTATGCGTACAAAGATTATCCATACAGCAACTCATTACCGCCAACAAATAGTCAATCGGGAGTAAGTGGATTAAGATCAACAGCACAGTCATCCTCGCTTCCAGCAAATGGACTGCCTCTGCGCAAGCGAGAATCACCTCTCGACTTGTCTGTCAAGACTATTAAGACATCAGCAGACTCGACTGCTCGCGATGACTTTGACAATGGATCCACGGACAAACAAGTCAGCAGTAGCAGTAGTAGTAATAATTCGAGAACCACTGTCGGCAGAAATAACATGCTCCCGCCGGCAGTACAACCAGCCGGAGCGACTCCTTACGTCACGTACGACTCAAGAAGAAACCCCGTTGCTTCGAGTCTCAGGCCGTCGACCCCGCAAATGCCCGTTTGTGCACCAAAAGTTGACTTTCTTCCCAACTTCAATTCAACGCCGCTGCAGCGCCATCATCACCAACATCAACAGCAGCAGCAGCAGCAGCAGCAGCATCATCAACATCAACTAAGTCAACAGTCCAATCACATGATGGAAAGCCCGCTGAGACGTAGTTCGTCTTATCAGCAGTTATACGTACCGCAGCCACCTCAGCATCAAAATTCAACGCCTTTACCTAACATTTCAAGTTTTAAAAAGTCTTTACTGTCCACCGGTGCTCCATTGTACGACAACAAAGGACCCTTAACTTCCTCCTCTTATTCACCAATTAACAGTGACTCTTCAAACAGTTCACGGTCGTCGTCATTCAGTCGGTACAATCCAGCAGTTGATCCAGCCAGGCCACCAGCACTTACGGTTCACGATTATCCGCCGTCTGATAATAAGTATTACATGGATAGTAGAAATAAACAACAACATCCTCATCAATCTCCTTATCATCATCCACATCCTCATCAGCATCAGAATCCTCACGCTATTCCTCAACACCAACATCATCCGCATTCTCATCATAATTATCCATCGGCGACGCGTGATCGAGTTCCTGTAAAACGTCCCGGTGAGCCGATATCGATGAGTGGCTCTGAACCCGGACCAACTGAAGCGAAACAGCCGCGTGGGGAAAACTGGAAGGCAATTATTGACAAAGAACTCCAGCAAAAGTTAGAAAAGGCACGTATATTGCACGAGCAACAAAAAAGATTTGAGATGACCTTGCCGCGGGCAATGCCAAATGGGACATTGGTGGCGCCGTCTTCGTTTAACCAAAGGGACCATCCTTGTCCGGCACCACCAAAGAAACTCACGGCTTTCTGTGATAAACGGGCGTACACTGAGTCCACCAAACTCCCGAGAAATTCAAATACTATGTCCTACAATAGTAGTAGTAGTAATGTTAATAATCATAATAGTGGTAGTAATAATAATAGTAATAGTAATAATATCAATACAATAAGTCCTCATATGGGTGAAAAGTCGCCTCATTCTAACGCGGCTCAGTCGTCCGGGCAACCGACAGCTAGTCAAATGGCTTATCCTTCTTCTGGTTATCCACGTCAAAGTCTGAAATCACCTTACCTCAGTGTACCATCACAATCCCTGGATCAACCCACCAACAACACAGGCGCTGATAAACGGGTGCTTAGTTTGTTGAGAAATAGCCTTGAAAACAAACAACAAAGGGAAGAGCAGCTCAATAGTCAGCAGCCTATTTTGGTTAATCATAGTCAACAGAGTTTCCAAAATAAGGTAATAGTTTGTTTATTAATTGAAGTTTATTTGAGTAAAAAGATCGGGTGTGATAAGAATTCTGGTTTATTACTTTTATGTTTTATATTCGATTAAAATTTAAGTACACTGGAAGAAAAAATTTCTTTTGAAGAATATATGGGCATTCTTGTGACAAAAAATAAATTTTCAATATTTTATTTCTTAACTGAAGATATCAAAATTATTCTCACAGTAACTTTATGTTGATAAAAATTTTTTAGATAAACAACTTGAAAATTCCCATCTAAATTTTTTTTTTCCCAAATCTAAAAAATTTTTTTCCAATGAAAAAGTTACTGTGAGAACAATTTTAATTTCTTCAGTTAAAAAATAAAATTATTGAAAATTTACGCTAATTAAAAAAAAAAAGATTTAACCCCTGACAAGCACACTAGGTAAAAAGTACCCACTCCAAAATTTTATTTCGTTATAATTTTTTGTACATATTTAAACTTCAATTGTATATTTATCTATTTTAATTGGCACTAATTAATTTAATATTATATCTAATTTATAGAGAATTTTTTGAGCTTTGATTTAAAAAAAAAAAAATTCTCTAACTTTATTAGAAACCAAGATATTTGAAAATGAAATATGTTGGGTACTTTTCACCCTCAATGCCTAAAGAGGTATACGATTTAGATGTGTGCTTGTCAGGGGTTAAAAAGATTCAACCCATGCAAAATGTATATCTATATATTTGTCAAGTTGAATATTTTTTAATCTCTTTGAGCCATTTCGAATCTTTTCAAATCTCTTTTTCTCATCAGGCTATAACAAATCCGAACAAAAACAGTTTCACTGTAAAAAAATCGCGCCAAGTCCACGTTCATAAGACTATTAAGAAAAAAAATTAGTTTTTTCTTTACAAAAAGATGTAAAATAAAAAAATTAAAAAATCCAAGTACACGGAAAGAACAAGATTATACTGGATATAATCCCAGATAATACTGAGTGAAAAAAAATTTCAGATAGTAACTAGTATAATCCAGATAACAATGAGTATGATCCAGATTACAATGAGTATAATCCAGATATTATTCAGTATAATCTGGATTATACTAGCTAACATCTGAAATTTTTTTACCTCAGATGTCACTGAGTATAATCTGAGATGGTATCCAGTGTCATCTTGCTCTTTCCGTGTAACCGATATGATTGTTTATGATTTTCGGAAATTAAAAGAAATTTTGTTGTAAATTTAAAAATTAAAAAAATAATTTTGGAACGTATTTAGTGTGCGTTGTTGTGAAATATTTTACTTTTAATTAAATTCGTAAAATCTATTTACTAGGACTTTAAAAAAATTGAAATACACAATGTGACGCACACCAAGTACGTTCCAAAATTGTTTTTTTAATTTTTAAATTTACAGCAAAATTTTTTTTAATTTCCGAAAATCATAAACAATTATATCGGTTACGAGGATTTTTTAATTTTTTTATTTTTTATCTTTTTGTAAAGAAAAAACTAATTTTTTTTTTCTTAATAGTCTTATGAATGTGGACTTGGCGCGATTTTTTTACAGTGAAATTATTTTTGTTGGCTGCATTTTTTTATAGCAAACTATTCCCTTGAGGCTACAGTTTATGTAAAAATAATTCCAGTGCACCCTGGCGGGTGTATATGCAAGCTGTGAAATATCTTTTTTTTAACTGTAGTTTCCCATCTGATGAAGGATTACTATGCATTCTCGAATATTTTAGTCTGTGGCAGATCACTTTGCCCATCGACAAAAAGTCAGGATCGAAATTTTTGCGTTGCTATCGTTTGTGCTGATTAAATTTAGTAATTTCAAGTAGATTAATTGTTATAAGTGAATATAATTAATTAATAACAGTAAAATAAAGTATGAATTACTGTTATAATATACAATTTAGGAAAAAAAAGTACCGTAGAATTAAATCAAATTTTGCAACCTCAAAATACCGTTCTGCTTACAGTAAACACAGTCGGTAGTCTGGCGCTCCGTTGACAACGGATTTGAACGGAACTTGGCGCCAGATTCTACCGAATCTGTGGATTTGTTTCTTGTCACAAAAATGTTTATTTTTATCTAAAGAAATTTTTTCTTCGTATAAAGTGTGAGAATTTATCGTATTTAAGTTTTCGAAAAGTAATTAATTTCTTTGTTAACATCTCCGCTCAATACTCAATTTCTCCTCTATAAGTAAGGTAAAAGCTCCAATAAATGATCATGTACCAGTATATATGATCACTCCATGTATTTGTATACCTATATCTTTTTTCTCATGCAAAAATTTCTCGCGACAAAAATTGTCAGCAATAATTTCTTGTACAATATTTTTTCACACAAAAACCATGATGAAAGGGCCATATTAATGTTTTTTTTTTTCTTAGAAATAATTGTACTTAATTGTGAGAAATTTCGGCAGGATTAATAAAGGCGGGGAGCCATATTTGTGAATATAGGTATACAAATACATGGAGTGATCATATACTGGTACATGATCATCTATTGGCGCTTTTACTTTATACGGAAGATTTTATTATTAATAAATTTTTTATGGCAGGTTGTGGCCCCAGTTGAGCCGAAGACAAACATAGGTAGACACAATCTATCGCCATTTACAGCGGCGAGCTTACTCGAGCGTAATAGCAATACGCCACCGCATTATAAGTTCCATGTGCCAAGGGCAGTAGACTCGATCACTCAAGAAACTCCCCGCAGCTTATACGCCTCAAGGGTTAATTCATCGGCTACTCTACCTGCGGGTAAAGAGGCACTTTTGGGTCCCAGAGAACTTGAAAATCAAATTCACCGTGATAAGGACGATAGCCTTGCAGCTATCCTTGCTGCTAAAATTCGCACCAAAGCCGAGTTGAAGCAGGTCAGTATATTAATTATTAATCTTAAAGCTTGTTATCAGAAGATTAAATTTATTTCAAGTGATGAAGATAAAAATAAGTTTATTATTATTTTTTGTGTAGGTTGGAACTGGTCAGTTTGCATCAAAACCGGTGTTACTATCTCAAGATACAACACCTAATGGTGAGCATCAATAACACATGTTTACTCTCATGTTATAATTAAATGCCTGCTCTGAGCGGACTATCAAGATTATACATTATTTATTATTTCCACTATATTTAGTATGCACACTTGTTTATCGATTATTAAATAAATTGTAATTATAATTACAGATTACGAACGCGTAGCGTCAACGTCAACCCCCCAATCAGTAGCTTCATCGGCAGGTAGCCCCCCGAAACTAACGTGTGAAAAAACCGCGTGTTTACCACCTCGACGTCGCTTGTTTTCAAGATCAGATGAAGATAATAATATGCCCGTAGCTGCGACGATACCCGCTGCTCAGGCCGCTACAACACCGGCATCAATTAAAGCAGTAGCATCCGCGGCAACAGTCGCTTCACGTGCCAGCGGATTCCGCAGCTCGAGTGAAACTTCGGTATTTGATTTTCGCGAGAGCGATTCAGAAGGTGAAATGCCTGTACTTGAGCGTCAAACGCTTGAAGAAATGCGTCGCGATCGTAAACAGTTGTCTAAAGTACAACCACCAGTTTCGCTGGATGATGCTATGTGTATCGGAATGACCTCTTCCGTCGATCTCGTAAAAATCGAACTTAAGGAAAATGACAATGTAGGCGAAGTAGATCCATTTTGGTCGGCAACCTGTGATAAATTTATCGAACAATTACGTGGTGGTAATACTAGTGATACTAGTACTGTTAAAAAACGTGGAAGAAAGAGGAAAATTGGTGACACTTCTGGTACAACAAATAACTCGGTTAGTAAAAATACTCCTTCGACAATAACGACAGAAACATCACCAACAGCAATAGTAAATAGTACTAGTAAAAACGGTGGTGCTAATAGTAAGACTATCGGTATGAGTAAAGAAGAAAGTAAAGTTTCTAGTACTGCTACGTCACCAGTTGTTGTAATAAAACCAGAAGATATCAAAAAAGAGATTAATGAAGATGAAACATTGATTACAACTGCGAGTAAAACTCCAGCATCAACTACTGTGATGACGACCAAGGGTACAACGAAGACTATCACGTTGAAGAACGAAAACAATGACGGTGAAATGAAAAATAAGTGTAATGCTGAGTCAGTAAAGCCAGTTGCTGTTAAAATCGATCCTTCGGATACGGTTACTAAGCCAAAATCTGAGGTTAAAATTAAGAAAGATAAAAAAGATAAGAAAGAAATTTCGTCTAAAACAGCATCAGCAGGGAAGTTAGTGAATGAAAAAGATGGCAATAATACGGATGATGATAGTACTGTCGAGTTGCCGGTTGTAAAAACTAGGACGAAAAGGTTAAATTATTTATCAGACGACAGTGATGATTATAATGAAGAAATACGTATGATGCGACGTCACTATAAGCAGACGAGCAGAATAACTACAACTGCGACTAAAACTTCAGCATCAACTACTGTGATGACGATCGAGGGTACAACGAAGGCTACTACGATAAAGAACGAAAACAACGACGGTGATACGAAAAATAAGGGTACTGCTGAGTTAGTAAAGCCAGTTGCTGTTAAAATCGATATTTCGGATACGGTTGCAAAGTCAAAATCTGAGGTTAAAATTAAAAAAGATAAAAATGATAAGAAAGAAATTACGTCTAAAACAGTATCAGCAACACCAGCAGGGAAGTTAGTGAATGAAAAAGATGGCAATAATACGGATGATGATAATACTGTCGAGTTACCGATTGTAAGAACAAGAACGAGAAGAGCGTTAAATTATTTATCAGACAGTGATGATTATGAAGAAATGCGTTTGATGCGACGTCAATTTAGGCAGGCGAACAGAATGAAATTAAAATTATCGAGCTCGAGTGAGTCGTCAAGTGACAAGGGAGAAGAGAGAGAAGAAGATAAAGTTGAAGCTGAAGCAGAAGCCGATGAAGAGGAGGAAGAAGAAGACGAGGAGGAGGAGGAGGAGGAGGAGGATGATGATGACGAGGAAGAGGAAGAAGAGAGTGACGCAAGCACTGAATTTGGTCGTGGTTCGACTGTAGCACAGAGATTAAGACCTCGTAAACGTGCTGGAAAAGGTTCCGCTAGCGGTGCTTCTGCTTCAGTTCCCGATGGTATGAAATTGCGACCACGCGAGGTCAAGACAAAGGAGGAAAAACCGCAAAAAGCATCTAAAAATAATCAATCGCAAAAATCAAAGCCGAAACCATTGTTTGGAGATGGAAGCGATTTTCGTCCAGGCTGGGAGGAAGAAGTATTTATTTACAAGAAATCCCTTCGAATGCCTGCACGGTTAATAAGTGTGTCAAAGCCATCGCGTTTTCATCGTTTGTCAACGTCATTACCTGATTTGGATCCTGATTCACCGGCGCTATCTGCGGTATCAATGGATAGTGCAGATGTTTGTTTACTGCGTAAACGAACAACAATCCAAGCAGCAACCGCCGCAGACAGCGATGTTGATTCGAATTACAGCTTTAGTATCAGCGGTTTGGGTCTAGGTCTCAGTGGCGGTAGCAAAGTTGTCGATGATGAGGAAGCCACATCATCCACAACCGTATCATGCCCACCTAAAACAACATCGACGACAACTACGCGACAAACAAGGTCAGAATCAAATTCAATAGTTGATTTGCTGGCTCGTAAAGTTGGCGGTAGTAAAAAAGACAGCAGAAAAAAATGCAAAGATAAGTTGGAAAAAAGTTTAAGCTGTAGTAAAATATTGCCCAAGGGTAGTAATGAACCAGAATTGTTGGCAACTCCTAGCTTTAGTCCGCTTGTAACTGGAGCAATGGCTAATGATAATAATTCAAGTGGCAATTCTAAAGCAAAGGGCAATAACGGTAAAACACCGACTAAAAATAGTAACAGTAAATTATTAAAGCAAATTGATGCGACTAATGAATCATCCTCATCTTCATCATATTTATTGGGTTACTTTCGAAAAGAGACTGTCAATAATTTTCGCGATACCTTTAAAAATAATTATGCACTGCCGAATGAATTTTCGACTTTTATTTTAAAGAGTCGTACGAGAACTGAAACTAGGGTAATGAAAAAACAAGCGACTATTAGAGAGGTATTTGGCGAAGATCGGCCAGCTTCTGCTCCGCCCATGCAAAATCACGCTGGCGATACTTCCCAAGATGACGACTCTCAAACAGATGAAATTAAAGAAAGTACGCTCGATAATAGTAATAGTAATAGTAGTAGTAATAAGAGTAAATTATTTAAACAAAAGGTTGTCAATAGATTAAATAATGCCGGAATACTGGGAAGTAATAATCCTGCTTTTAAGTCGAAACGTTATTTGCGGTTAGAACAAAGACGCGGAGTACTGCTTAATAAATCAAGTGATAAAGATGATGACGATGAAGATGCTGATGACAAAGCTAAACTTAATGTTAATGTTGTCGGCAATGTTAATGTTAATAAAAATAAGAGTAAACATAATAAATTAGCAGTGGATAGTGGTAATACTAATAGTAAAAGTAATAATAGTGCCACTGGAGGCGGTATTAAAATAAAGAAGGAAATTAAGAAAGAAGAGGATGATGAAGTAGATGTTGCGCCGGCTGATGATGACGAAGAGGATGATGAACAGGATGAGGATGAAATTGAAGATATTCAAGAGCCTGATAATGATAATAATGACGGTACTGAAATATTGGGTAAAAAGAAACTTAAATTACGCACTGGTCGAAGAAAATTCCGTTCTGGGTTTGATTATATACGTAAAAAGAAAAAACCCTTGAAGAAAGATGATACTACTGCCAAAGAACGTAAAAAAGTTAGTTATTTTATTTTATTCTATTTTTAGTTGAATTATGTAATGAATCATTAATAATGTTAAATTATTCCAGCCGACGATATCGAGGCCGAATGCTGAGAGTGTCGCGGATATTCAAAACGAAATTAGGACATGGGTTATTAAGAAAGGAGTCGGAGAAACTATTCTGCATCGGGCTGCTCGACTGGGTTGTACAGTACGTTTTAAATTATTGATTGTGTTTTGAAAAAAAAAAAAAATTATTTTTAAATATTATTATAAGTAACTAAAAATTTTTATATTTTTTTTTTTGTAGGACGTTGCTGCTTATTGTTTAGAAAAATTGAATAGCCTTCCTAGTCCGAAAGATAATGCAGGATATACTCCACTTCACGAAGCATGTTCGCGCGGTCACTTGGAAATCGCAAAATTATTACTGGCGTATGGAGCTAATGTTAGTGAGAGTGCTAATGGTGGAATAAGGTAGATATTTATGTTTCAATTTACACTGTAAAAAATTTGACGAGTGCAATTGATTGAATTCCTTTGGAGTGAAATTTTCTTCGAGAAGGATTTTATTTAAATTATTGATAAAAAAAATCCGCGGAGAGAAATCTACATTGTTTTATTAAAAAAAAGTTACATAAAACTCTTTTAAAAATTACAAATGCGTATTCGGGGATTCTAAAAATTTATATAACCTTTTATCTTAATTTGATATCAAAAATTTTAATATTTAAAAAAAATAACATCAATATTTTTTTTTTATTTTTTCAAATTGCATTTTTTGATAAACTCTCGATAGTAATTTATTTGATGAGAAATGTGAAAAATTGTCATATAAAAATTAATTTCAGTTCTACTAAAATATTTAATTAAACGTAGTAATGATTTATTACTTTTTACTTTTTGTTTCATATTACAAAAAAAAATTTTTATGAAAGTATAATCAATATTTACTAAGATAATCTAGAGATAAATTTTTTGTAGCATTTGTTAGTAATTTGGTATATAAAATTTTTCAACTAAATATAAATTTATTTTAGTCTAAAAATTTCGAATTAAGATCTATTTTTATTAAAAAAAAAAAAAATACCAAAAACTCCAGATTTATTTCTTATTTTTTCATTCCGGTATTCTCCGAGTTGTTGAAGTAAAAATTCACTCCCTATTTTTTACAGTTTTTTTCAATATAATAAAATAAATATGTGTTATAATGTACTAAAAACGATTTTTATTGATAATTAGGCCTCTTCACGAAGCAGCTGAGAATGGTGCTACAGAACTAGTAAGATTATTACTTTCATATGGTGCTGACCCATTATTGGCAACTTACGCCGGACAAACACCGTTAATGTTGGCGGACAAAAAGGCTCATTCTATTCTCGCGCAACATTTGGACGATGTTCAAGGCCGGTCAGCCGAACCTTGGAGTTTTGGCGGCCCTTCAACCTTGTTCGGTTAGTTTAACTATGCTTATTTATATTTCTTCTAACAAATGTTTGTTAGTGCCTTTTATCATTATACATTATTGCTTTTTATATCATCACAGATCCTGAAGAAACTGGTTACAATCCATTAGAAGATCCGCCGATGGACTCACCAGAGCCCGAAATAGACGAAATAGAAATGGAAGTTAGTGACATTAATTTGCCGGTCCTGTTTTCTATAGCAAATGACCCGGATAAATGGGTACTACTGCAGGATCTAATGGCCGCATCAAAATTAAAGAGCCGGGATGCGTTATTAAGGCAAATAAACCCGAAAGCTACCGGGCCTCCGGCAATTGCTCATCGCAGTGTTATGAGAGAATTCAAATTATCCGATTTTCTTGAACAATCACGCTGTTGTCATTTGTTAAATTCTGGTGAGCGTATTAATGTTCGCGGTTCCAAAGTAACACTTATTAAGTACAACGACAAAGTTAAATCTCTGTTGAATGTCGAGAGGGTTGTTATTAATTTGAGGTGACAAAAGGACAATCTGAAGAGTTTCACTAGTAATAATTCTAACGTTATTGTTAATGATAATAATATAAATATTAATAATAATAATAGTAACTATAATGATAGTAATGATAATAAAAAAAGTAGTAATATTAATAATAGCGATAGTAATATGTCCTCAACTCTTCAGATACCATCGACATCAATTACCAATAATGATAATGATAGTAAAAAACTAAATGAGATTAAATCTCCTTCCAAAGTAACGATTAAGCGCGAACGTTTACGGAAGAAATAGAATCATCATTGATGGTCATATTTGTTCTTTTATTTTGTTTAACTAATCAATACATTTATTTACTCATTTACACGTGATAAAATAAATCTGAATTTTTTAAAGATTAAACTAATGAAAAGAAAATAAATTAGTTAGTAAAAAAAGATTTTTTTAATAATTTTTTTACTACGGATATTTCTTTTTTTTTTTCATTTTTATTACTGACTGATAGTGCAAATGGTGCATAGAAAAATATGAAGGTGCAATTTTAATTCAAACGTTGATTGAGAGTTATTAATTCATTAGTAAATAAACTCAAATTGAATAAAGCAGCGACCTGTGACATTATATTAGAATGTTTATTAAATAATTAAGAGTAATTTTAATTAAAAAATGAATATTATAATAGAATTAAATATGAATATGATGCCTCGGCAGCTGAATAATTTTAATTTAATGCTTTTTATTAGAGAGATAAACTGCCGCTATGATAATATAGAAAAACGTGAGCCGTTAAATAAATTATAAAAGGTTTTGTTACAAATAAACATAACGTGATTTATTTTGTAAATTAATATGAATATCAATTATTAATAATGAGTAAAGTAAACGGGGCAATGTTAGCAAATAAAAGTACTAAAAAGTTACTTAACGATTGAATTCATTTTAAGTAAAAAAAAAATCTTTTATTTACGTCTCACGTAAGCCAACAACTATTTTATCAATTAAACAAAACTATAATTAATAGAATGTTACCAGTAATTATTATTATTATTATTTCTGATTATCATTTTATTTTGTGAATACAATTTACGTTGATAAATAATTTTATTTTATTGTATATAATTTTATTTTTGGTGCAACGAGGCATTTAACAGTTGGCAAGTGCAATTTGACAATTATTAGAAATGAAATAATTATAGATAATTAATTTTTCAATAAGTAACTATTTTTTCTCTTTACAATACTCGTTTTAATTGAATTTAATTTTGTTAGTTAATTTTTTTTTTTAATTTTTATTATTGTAGTTTCTTTATCTGTTATATTATATTAATCAATGATTATCATTTTTATTTTAATAACTCGTAATTAATATCATTGATTATTTATTTACAACGTGCAATAACGTATTCAATTGCTTGCATCAATTAATTAAAAATTATTAAGTGTAATAATATTTTATTATTAATATATAATTAACATTAGGGTAAATTACTTTTTTAACATTTAGCTCGCGTTGTCTTGTGCGTTATTAATAAATACAAAAAAAAAAAAAAAAAAAAAAAAAACGGGGAAAAAAAAAAAAACATTGAAAAAATAAATACAAAAAAAAAAAAAAAAATATAATAACGGAGTAAATAAAATTTTTATGTACTTATTGATTTTTTGCGATGACAAGTATGTTTGAGTATGCGTAGTTTTTTTTTATTTAGATAATCTGAAGTGATGTGTAATTTGTATGAGTGGTTTTTAAGCTTAATAAATTTATCGCAATGCCGTAAATTTTGACAGAAAAAAAAAATAAATAAATTGAAATTTTCAATTGTTATAATCAGTCTCAGGGAAATCTTTATGTAAAAATGAAAATAAAATAAATGAAAAAAATAACAATTAATTATAATTATGATAAACCGATAGTTAAAAATACATAAATATTAACAACGCATATAAACGACGAAAGAAAATAATTATTTAATGTCAACGTGAATTAATTGTGTAATTAATTTAATTGTATAGTTAATTATAAATTATAAATATTAATTATCTTCCAATATTATTGAATATATAAATAAATAAATAAATAGATAAATATCAATGCAGTACATCATGAAGTTTTTATTACTTTACTGTAAATTTACTAGCTTACTGTAAATATCAATATATTTTGCGATTTATGAATGGAACTATAAGTAAAAATCATTTTAAAATATAGTAGTAAAGAAAAAACACTTTCCACTTAAAATAAATAAAGTTAATTATAAAATAATAAATACTTTGACAAATTATGATAATATGTGTATGTACTGTATGTATTTTAAATTGTAATTATTAATTTTATGAGCGTAAATATTAATCAGCTATTGTGTACGTAGAATTTATTAGAATAAATATAATAATAATATTAATAATTAGTTTTGAAACGTAGTTAAATGTGATGCACTGAACAAAATTCGCAGAGTTGCTATTATACTGTAAATACTATATTAGTATATTATAAATTATAAATATAAATATTATGATTAAATAAACTATAATGACTATCACGCGATTAATGGTTCGCTTTTTTGATGTACTGTAAAATACAATAGATATTGATGTAAATTTTTTCTTAGATATTAATTAAGTTATAACATTTCCTGATCTTTATAGAACAGTCAGATAATTATAATTATAAATAAATAATTAATAATAATAATAACTATAAAGGAAAAAACTTCTAAATGTGTTAACGCTACTGCTTCGAATAAATATAAAAAAAAAAAAATAACAATACAAAGGTATTATATATTACAAAAAAAGTGAAGTAAAATATAATAATAAATGGAAATATAAATATATATACTTGTAAGCATATATATATTTTATTTCATGAATTTTGTTCAGGAGAAAAAGTAAATTAATAAATGTATTGATGCAAAGAAACAAATACAAAGTAGAGATTTTCTGTGATTTGTAAAAAAAAAAAAGGAAAAATTAAAAACAATATACAATTAATGTGTTTGTTTTCTTTCAATATTAGTTTTCTTTTTAAAGTTTAATTGATTCCCTTTTATGATTTTTTTTTTCATTAAATTGCTTATACGTTTCTTCAATTTAATATTATTTTGATCATTATTTAGATTTCTTCTTTCAACGTGTCGTTAGCTGATTAATTAAGGGGGTATTCTGGTCTAGAAGCTTGAATTTAAAGCAATTTTTGAAGTGCCGTAAGAAAAGGCAATCAATATTTTTACTATTAATTTTTTTACAAGATATTTATTAATATTTCAAGAATATAGAAAAAAAAAGTAAAAAATTTAAAATTTTAAAAGTTAGCAGCTAATAAAGTGGGGGGTTTCAAAAAACTTTCCTAGCAGCCTTGAAAAAAAAAAAAAAAAAAAAACAGATTATCAATTTAGAGTAATGTCGCTACCGTATTAACTAAAAAAAAAATTCAAAAAAAATTTTTTACCAAATGATAACTGCCTGAAAAAAAAAATTAATTTTTGTACCACTTTTTTGAGTTTTCCGAATTTTTAAAAAATAGTAAATATTGAAATTTGAGGATGAGGATAGTTTATGCGATAGGGAAGCCTTTAAAGAAGACACACCAAATTTCAAGTAGGGTAAAAGACCCCATTAGTGGCGGGGACCCCATTACTGACACTTTTTTTTATTTATTTATTTATTATGCCAAGGCTAATTGCTATATGGCAAGCTTTAATAATACAATGATTTTATAAAATACTTTCTTGGATATTAGTACTTATTCAACTAATAAAATTATTAATTTCAATAATGAATATATTTTTTCTAATCTTCAAGACCTTTAGATCAAAAAAATTTTTAATTTTTATTCCAAGTAGAATATTTTTTCATTGAAAGACAAAGTACCACTAACAGGGGTTAAAGGTGCCACTAATGGGGTCTTTTACCTTAATTCAAGCAAAACAGCCATTTTTCCTAAAATAATTCCAATTTTCTAAAGTTTTCCTGAAGACATATTCTTAAAGAGTTTAGCTTTGAAAATATGAATCAAAAATCAATTTTTTTCAAATTTCTAGACCCGAATACCCCCTTAACGAAAATACAATCATAGACGCAATTAGGAAACAGCACTGTTAGTTTCTTCCTATATTAAAAACATTTCTTGTCATTGACTATTAGTAAATAATTTTAAATTTATAGATTTTTTTAGACATAGGTACACTACCGACAGAAAGTTTCCGGACAAGAAAAAAATTTATTGAAACGATTATTAATAGTAAAATAAATCAAGAAGAAAGTCAATGACACGATCGTACGTACACACTTTGTAAAATAAAATAGCATTTTCTTTATAGATCAAGTTAATATGTTTATGTATTATATTTAAATTAAAAACTAAACAAGAAGATTGTCCGGAAATTTTCCGTCGGTACTGTATACTTCATTTAAAAATAGTCTTCTTAAATAATTTTTTTAATCGGCATATAATTAGAGTAAGATAAAATTGAAATAGCAAAAAAAAATCAGAAATATATCTATCAAGATATTTTTATTTTTCTATTTATTCTTATACAAAATTTTACTCTAAATTGTTGTAATGGTAGATTAAATTAATAGTGTGAAGAAAGAAAAGGATTAATATAAATTTAATAAAAACACAGTCTATTAAAATTGGTAAAACGTTTATTAACTATTTAAAAACGATGAAACAAGGTGAACATGAGATTGATAATTCAATAAGTCGTCATTATTATTATTATTAAATAGACTATAGAGATGTTTAATAATAATATAAGTGTCCATAATTATTATTTGTTTTTATCCTATATATGTTCCTTTACATTGAGACAGATGTCTTAAGTCAATCGTAATAAAATCACGACATCTAGTATAATAATAATAATTATAATATTAATAATCATTATAACTAATCAATCAATAAATCAATAAATTTATCAATTAATAATAATCAGGCACAACCTGTGAATAACGGCGGTGCACTTGTCACTATATTTATTTATTTATTTTTTTCATTCTCAACAAAAAAATCCACGGCAGTTATTTCCACAAATAAAAAAATTACAAATAAATTCGAGCCATAGCACGAAAACAAACGCCGAAGATTTTTAATTAAATTTCATTATTTTCTTTATCGTTACATTTTACAAAAATTCAACTTGTGATAGTCTCGTTAATTAAATTAATTATAGCTTATTGAGATTTTTATTTTATTTTTTATTACAAATATTAACGTGTCAATGTTTCAGTAATTCTTTAATAATAATAATAATAATAATATAATAATAATAATAATTATAATTATAATCTGATAATGATAATGAACGGCGAATTGAACTGCGTCAAACTGAATCACGCATTACTAATAATAACATATATTTTTAATTATATTACAGTATTAATAATAATAATAATCAAATTGACAAATGATTGCCATAATATCATGCCTATTACACATAAACTATAAATTTTAATTTACTTTCTTAAATAATAGAAACACATTTAACGTAAAATAAGTACAGTCCATTAAAAAAAAAAAAATTAAAATCAAAACGTATTCTTAAAAATTAATATTATTTTGTCCATATAATTATCTCGCGTTTTATCGGATAAATAACTCAATTTGCGAAGGCAACTAACAGTCAAATCACGAGAATATTTATGGTAATAATTAATCATAATTATAATCATTAATCAATTAATAAAAAAAAATAGATCCATTAATTAGTCAATGAAATATCCCGTGAAATGACGGCAAGTGTCGCGAGTACGTTTAACGTACGCGACTCAACAATTCGAGTTTAAAATGTTAATAATAAAGACTTATTTAGATAATAAGTAATACACGTACATACACATAATAATAATAATAATGATAATAATAATTAATAATATTATATCTCTTGCGTATAGAGTTCGCGATGTGAAATGTTGTTTTAATTTAATTATTTATAAATACTGCCTACAATAGTTAACATTCAAAACCTCTTATACTTTCTTCATCCGTTTTTTTTTTCACTCCGAAATACATCAGGCATTATTATCATATATATTTTTTATTTATTCATTTAATTTTATTTATTTATATAGTAATATAATAATAAATATGTACAATTATTATTCCGCACTACTATTTTATATAATAAATTAGTAGTATTTTAAATTACAATATTTTATTATTTATGCATGTAATTATATTATTATTATTAGTATTATCATTATCATTTTTATTTTTATTATTATTATTTTTTTATTATTATTTTCTATATAATGTTGCACGTAACCCATTACTGGTTTAGTATTATTATCTAGCTGTACAAAACATCATATATCGTCTATCCTAAATAACTAACGATTTGTCTTGTGAGGTCAGATAGATCGTAAAGTTGCGTGCTTGACTTTGCAATACTATAGACTTTTCATTTTAATTATTTGTTTATTCGTTTAGTCAATTGATTTCTCTCGTTATAACTCGTTAAATCCTACGATTTATCATCTCACAGTCACAATTATCATTTTCTTCTTCATCTATTTTTCATTCCACGTTAATTATCTCTTAGCTTTCTAAACATCTCGCACACAATTTCGCGCCAATTTTAAAACAAATATATAAATAAAATTAACGAATTAAGTACAGAAAAACAATAATATTATTTAAGATAAAAATGTGACGCGTTTTCTATTAAAATATCAATAAATTTGTTTTCAGGTCAATGGATTAAAATTATTTTTACTAATTGGTTAAAATGATTGTAATTTTATTTTTTATTGTAATTAAAAATAAATTGTTAAAAAAATTTTAACGACTAGGGTAAATGCACCAGTTGTTGACCGGTCACCAATTAGTTGACCGATGTATAAAAAAGTTAATTAATTAATATTTTACAAGGGTTTTTTTTTTCTTAAAGGATTAAAATAAAAAAAATATGGCATTTAATCATCATAATAAAAAATTACGCAATTAATTGCACAGTGATTGTAGCTTTAAAAAAATATTCTGAGTTTGTTTACAACGCAACCAGCCATAAAGCGGTCAAAAATAACTAGCGTACAATTGGAGAGTGAGTGCATTTCATCATTAATTTAGTGATATTTATCGGCATAATATGAAATATTTTAGTTTTATTATGTTAATTAAAGATCAGATTCCAACTTTTTTGAAAAAATAAAGTTAAATTATAAGTTTTAATATTATTTTAAGACCGGTCAACTATTGGATCCGTCAGAAGCCCTTTACTCAGTAAAAAATTCATTCGGTCATTTATTAGACCCTCTGATTTTATCACAATCCAATTAATGACCGTATATTTATAATACTAACTTCTTAATCTCAAAATTAAATCTATCAAGTGTTTAAAGTACTTTAGTCATTCAATATTTTGTAAATATAAAAATAATCATTATAAAATGTATATTTACAATTAAAATAATACTTAAAATCTTTTTTGATTATTAAATTTTATTTTGTTCTAATTTTTTTAGTGAACGGTTATATCAAAGAACGAATTATTAGAAGAAAAAATTGCTAAGTAATTAAAAAAATAAAAAAGAGTTACAAGCTAGTAAAAAAGCCTTAATTGAAAAAAAGAAGGAGAAGAATAAAAAAATTTCAAGTTAATCAGAAGGATTATCGTCATTAAAATGAATTTGTGATTATTTATGACCTAAATAAATGTGACTTTATGTTAATTATTGATATTATTTTATAAAAAAGTACGATTTAAAATTATATTATATGTTTAGTTTTGTTAAAGATGTCGTAAATACTTGAAAAGTACTTCATAAATTTAATTACATACATGTAGTTAACAAAATTACTTATAATTATTTGAGCGGTCAAATAATTGGAGAACGGTCGGTCATTTATTGAGTTTCTTCGGTCAATAATTGGTGATTTAAAAATTTCAAGATTCAAATAACAAAATTAATATAATTTTGTTAATTTTTATTATAAATAGTTATTAATTATTATTAATTAAGTATTTAACTTTAATAAAATCCATTATAAATTGGTTTTAGTAGGTTAATAGATTTTTTATAGCTTAGTACAGAAAAAGAAAACCTTAATCGGTCAATAATTGGTGCATTTACCCTACAACGAATATTCAATAAAATTCAATATCGAATTTTCGTTAATTAATACAATTTAATTTTCGTTATTTATTATTCATTTTTTTAAATATTAATTACTTAATAATTTGCGTGATCATGATCATAAAATACCGTTCATATCAGTTCTAAACTACGCAAGAACTGAAGAATACTTATTTGTTTCACTCCATAATAGTTTTTTTCTGCTGTTATTTGTGATTTTAAATGAATCACTTGTTAACAACAATTAATACCGTTTTTATTAATAATTTTAACAATAAAATTGAATTAAAATCAATTATATTATTAGCGAGACATTTAATAATTATTATTTGTTCAATTTTCGACGCGTCTCTGTTCAATTTATGCTACTTGAAGAATATAAAGGCGTATTAGTCAAGCTGCATTAATTTGATAATTGTTAATTTAATTTTTATCATCATTATTGTTATTGTTATTTTTATTATCATCATTATTCGTTACGCCTTGGTGGTACGGTCCATGAATTCGGACCTTGAGACGCATTGGGGGCAGGACGTCACAGTTGCTGATCCCTAGATGGTACCCAAATGCTCGGTCCTGATTGTTCGGCGATAACTTCCTTTACTTTTACGTAAATGTCCTCGGGTGTATCTCCTTGTACAACCGCTGTAAATATAATTCAAACAATCGGTTATAATAATTACAATTTATTTTCACAATAATGACAATAAATTTGTAAAAGAAAGAGAAATATCGTTCCTTACCGGTAAAGTATTCGCCGAATTCTTGCTCCATTTTTAATGCCCGCTCGTACGTTTTCTTGGCTTGATCTTCAGTCATTCTTTTGTTCATTTCCCTGAAACGTTTTAATGGTTCAATTAATTTATCAAGCCTTCATTTTTTTTTTTTTTTTTTATTGAAAAAATATTTATACTTACACAATCGATTCTACGGATTTAGGTTTGATGAAAATGGCAATTGGATAGAGTTGAGCAACTTGTAACCTCTTTATTGCATTACCACTTACATCCAGAATACAATGTTTACCCTAAAAACAATCATCAATATATTTTCTTGCTCTAGATTATCTTACTTATTAATAAAAAAAAAAAAGTTTGAATCAAGAGAAGAAAATTTTGAAGATTATTTTAAAAAACTTCATCTTTTTCAATCATGCAAAAAAATTTTTTAACTAAAAAATTATTTTTAATTCTAGTAAATTTTACTCGATTCAAAATTTTTCTTCTTGAATAAAAATGATTTACATAAAGTGAAAAAAAAATTATTGTCTAGACAAAATTTTTTTAAAATGAACCATTTAATTTTATTAAATTTTTGACAAAAAAAAATATCAATATGTATCTTTATTATTTATGTAAGCATAAGAATAACTTAATTTAAATCAAGTACTAAAAAAATTTTGATCAATTTGACTTATTATCAAAAATTTACATTTTTACGTCATGAAAATTTTTTTAAGGTAGTTGTCATGGTAAAATATTGTCAAAAAATTAGAGATTATACGCACCGCAAAAGTATATGAGCTTGTAGCTAAGTAACCCATAATTTCTACGAAAAACTGTACCCGTGGAGAAGCAACCGATACAATTGTTTGTGTCCGACTCAGTAGATATATACTTTTTTATAAAATATTGAACTTAAATCCGTTATTTATAAATAATTAGAAGGTCAAAAATTTTTTTTTAAACTCAACAAATACATTAAAATACTGTCAGTTTTTTTTTTATAACTAAGAAACTGATACAGGACTGCTGAGAGCGTATGCAATCAATGTTAAATATTCAATTTTTAATTGAACTATCTCGGGTTATAGGTGGTCAATCGGCTTCAAATTTTTAGAGTAATTGTATCATCATGTCCTTAATAAGTATACAAAAATTTAGAATTTTCTGACGATATGCCTTAACCACGACAACTACCTTAATAGAAGTACTTTTTTGTTAAGTGTAATTATTCAAAACAATGCTCTTGGTTCAAAATTGTTTCTGCTGAGTAAATTTAATTTTTTACACTTTACAAGTGCATAGCATTATAATTTATTTGAAGATAAAATAAAAATAATTTACCTTTTCGGAAACTTCTCGTACAGAAGCTACGGAAGTACCATAAAGATTGTCATTATATTGGCCAGCTTCAATAAACAAATGGTTCTGAATATCTCTCTCCATTTGTTCCCTCGACGCAACGAAATGATAATCGCGGCCATCAACCTCATAGTCTCGTTTACTTCTCGTCGTGTCTAAGATATAAAAATAACGATGAATCATTTAAATACTCATCTCACGGTGAGTTATTTCAGTACATGCGTAACTAAACTTTAAAAAAAAATTACATTAATAACAAATATTAAATATATAAACTTACGAGGTACACAGCTTCCAAATTTATCCGGAAACTCGGAAATAAGATCGTCGTTTATGCGGTCTTTCAACGGTCCCAATATTATCACAGGGCGCGTGTACTGAATGGTCATTTGTTGAACAGGCTCGTAAGATAGTACGTTTTCTTCGCTACCTAAAAAAAATTTACAACACCAAAGTAAATAAAAAGGTTCAATAAAAGTTTTTTTAAACATTTTGTTAGTTTTTCAAACCAATTTCTTACTGAAAACTTTTTTTCTTAATAATTAGACTAATTTATCTTATAAAATTCATGTTACATTCTTTACTTAAAATATTGAAACTTTTCTTCGTTTTCCGAGAAAAGTATTTTTAGTAAAAAAAAAATTTTCGAGACATGCGTACCGCGACTGTCTTATTTGCACGGAGTTCTCGATAAAAAAAATGATAAATTATTTAATAATAAAATTCATAGAATTTGACAAATTTTTATATGGAAGCATTATTAGTTTTTTGTATTTTTTTTTTTTTTTATCATTTTTCACACTTTGTCTCACACGTATGACTTACAAAGATCAACATTATTTTCATCGTCCTCCTTTTCCAGATAAACTAAAGTCAGTTCTTCCATATAGGGTAGTTCAACGCGATATAAAATTTCTTTACTTCCTGCGACGGATGACAAATCTTTATTAAATAGAAGAAAAAAAAATAATAGACAATAACAAAATGACATTGTTTTTTTTTTATGAATATGAACAACAAATTATACCAATTAAACTAGGTAACAAAAACAGTAAATAAAACAAACAGAATAATAATTAAAAAAAAAAAAAATAATTTCAACAAACACAAAAGACAACTACAAAAGCATTAAAAAATAATAAACTACTCGGTTGAATTTTTTAAAGCCAGGGCATTTATGATTTTGCACACAATAGATATTTATTGTGTGCAATATTAACCCATTAAAAAGCTAATTGTTAATATAAATAATTTATTACTTATAGTTGCGATTATTATTGTAATCACTAATATTATTATTATATATGGAACATTTTCATGAGATGTTAGAATAAATAAAAACTCGGTTGACATTTATGTGATATTACCTTCAGTATTAGTGTCGTCCTGGGTATAGCACAGCATGAATGCTAAAACACATTAGATTGACAATTGAATAATAACGTGAAAGCCGTCTAAATGTGAAACTACAATGTAATGTCGTCTTTGAATAATAATAATTAATCGCTTTAAATATTTATTTTTCACTACTTCTATACTACACTAGCATGATCCAAAAATATTTAAAAAAAAATTAATGATGAAATTAAATAAATAATTAACAGAGTAAATAAAGTTAAAATTAATTAAGTATATAAATACAAATAAAATATAATTAAATTATATCAAAGCACCACCCTGACATATTTACACTTAATAAGAACAGCAAGCTGAATAGACAAACAATAAGACAATTGGAGACATACAGAAGTGTGTTAGAAATTGATTAAAATAATTATGGAGGAGTCTTGAGTATTTATAAGTCGAATATTTATGGTAGAAAAAAGTACAAAAGAACTTTGACTTTGTATGTTAATTTGCTTACAATAATTAGTGTAATTAATGTAATGAAAATTGATAATTTGAAAGTTCGAGGACAGGATGAGAGTATTTATATATTTTTAAGAGAGTATGTATGTTTAAGTGTGAATGGCAAATGGTTTACATAAAATACTTACGAGTAGGATCGTTTTCATTCTCAGGTGTTGTGGGCGACCCTACACAAGCAGGCAAAACAAAAGACATGTCACGTATCACAAGTACAAAAAAAATGAAACAATTATAAAAAAAAAGTTTTAAAAATTTTTTTAAAATATACACAAATAAGCTCATTCGGAATTTTTACTTCAGTTGGTATCGTATTGACAGCATACTCTGTTGGTGTTTGGATTTTAATCATCATTAAGGGTAATATATTTTGCTATATGTACATTTAGAAAAAAAAAAAAAAACGAAAAATAATTTTTTCTTACGCTAGTTTTGCTGTGTAATTGTTTTGTTGTTATTGTAGATGGGACGTATATTGTTATAATTTAAAAAATATAATACATATTTATAATTTTTAATTTGTCATTGGAGTAAGGTAGTATTGTAATTAAATTATTTAATTAATTATTCATTATTACGACGCTAATTCAATAATAAACATATACCGTACGTGCAAATACCGATCGTGCAAACAAATTTGATTATTTATATACATTTATACCAAGAATTATTAATTATATTTTGATCTTTTTTTTTTTTAAAGTGAACTTAAAAAGCGAATTAAAGTACTCACGTTCTTGATCGGAGCCATCTTCGGATTTGTCGTCTTTACTCTTCATAAACGGAAACTTTCTGCTGAAGGAAAAGTTTTTCTTTTTTCTATCGAGTGTTGATTGCTGTAATTAAAAGTAATTTAATTACAATTAGTTTAAATAAAAGTTTATTTTAATGAATTGTTTACCTTGTCTAGAATAACAGGCATATGACCCTGGAATTTAACGGAACGATCTCTGGCCCTTTGTTTTCGTTCCCATCGTCTGCGCGAGGGGATGATACCCAGACCTTCTTCGTCCCCGTGAGGGGTGACTCTTCTCGCTTGCCACCATTCATCATCACTGGCATTCGTCACGTGCAATATTTCTCCGTACCGAAAAGCCAGTCCGCGACTCGGAAGACCGTCGTCTTTGTTCGGGTCATAGTCAAACAGAGCCCTGGTTAATTAAAAAAGTAATAATGGAAGTTAATATCTGGTGATAAATAATGAAAATACGCTCCAGAAAATATTTAGCAGATATTTAAGATGTTACCTAACGTAGAGGGATTTTTTCTGTGAGGTCCTCATTAGAGTACCAGTTGTTAAATTTTGCTGTGAAAGTTGTTGCTTAAGATCATGGATTTTTGCTTCAAATCTGTTATAATCTTCGGGCTTGTACTGTACGACGATTGTTACAGTTTGTCCAGTACCCTGAGCATACACAAATTTTTAATTAATAAACATGTTTATTTTTTTAATTAAATTAAGCGGTTAAATATAGTAAAAAATTTTTCGTCGTTACGTAAAAAAGAATTTTGTGTACTAAACTTTTTGTGAATAATACATTAAGTGTTTACCTATCAACTAACTAAAAATGTGTACTTGTCATGGATCGTTACACACAATTTTTGAACAAAATAACTCAAAATTTTTTGCTGTGTACGGACTTAAAAAGCGATTTTTTAATCATTTTTTCTGAAGAGGCTTTTTAATTGATTAATATCGACGATCTAATTAGCAATTGGTCGAACTCTTTATTTTGTATACAATAGTGGATGATTTTTTAACTTTTTAATGTAGCAATAGTCTAATTACAAATTATTTATATCTCTATTAGATATTAAATGGTTTTTTTATACTGATAATAAATTTTTAACTAATTGTTTTTTCGAACAAATGAAAGATTTTCTAAAATTGAGTTAGACAATTTGCTAGTTAGAACGTCGATATAAAAATTTGTATAAATTTTATTAATAAGTTCTTTTTTTTTTTTACAAATTATGATTTTTCAGCTGTTGATTTTTGAAAAAACCTCTAAAAAAGTGTTGGTATGAACACAATATCTTCAATTTAAATCATTAAAATTAAAAAATCCAAAAATTCTAATTTCATAATAAATAAAATTTTTTTTGCAAAAATTTATATATAACCCCTTAAATTAAATTAATAGCAGGCTCGTATTTCCCAGAAAAATATTATCTAGGATCTGTAATCCCGGTATTCAATCCGGTTGTTTAAAAATATAATAAATGGATAGTAATTAATACCTTGAGAGCGGCAGCAGCCTCCTCATGAGTAGCTGTTCTGAGATTAATTCCATTGACACTGAGAATTTGATCGCCACGTCGTAATTCACCACTAGTGTCAGCGGGTCCTCCAGCTAGGATAAAAGATATAAAGATCCCTTCACCATCCTCGCCGCCGACAATATTAAATCCTAATCCAGATGTCCCCTTGTTCAGTATCACCGTGCGTACCTCACTGTAATGAATAGCAAAAAAAAAACACCAATATTAATCCTGGATAACGTCCAATCGTTGCCAACTCTTTACAAAAAATACAATAAAATTCAGCGCAACAGGTTGCCACTCTTTTACTTCAATATCCCACTCACTTCCACGCGATTACATAATTTTTATTATTATCATTACCTCAAATTACGCAGATTAATATTTTAATGAGAAAAAAATTTTACTCCCGCAGTTAGAGACTCACTTAAACTTAAAGTTTTCTTACGCGTGATAAATAAGAAATTAAAAGTAAAATGAATTATTATAATACATTAGGTAAAAGCAATAACTCTTCCTACAGAAAGATGAAAGTCTAACAAGAAGTAAGATACTCACTGCCCGCGATACAAATTTGTTAAAACAACTGAAGGATGTGAGCCATTCTGGAATGATAAGAATGCAGAGAGCTGGACAAAAGAAACCTGGTCACGCCTAAGATGCGGAAATATTGGCAGACATAACAAAAAAGGCTACAAAGCCTGGGACTGCAGACTATGTCATAGTGAACCAGAAACCATCGAGCATCTACTTATTTGTCGGGAAGCCCGTATGCTCTGCACACCAAAAATCGCAGACAAAATTCAAGCTCTCACTGATGGTAAATATGATGCTGACCTTCAATTCCTGGTTAAAGAATTGCTGAGAGGACCGCCAAACATTGAGATCTGTATTCTATTCAAAGTCATCGAAAACAAAATCAACTCACCAGACGGTGATGCCGAGAAGGACTACAGATATATGGGATGCAGATAAAGTGTGCAATTGAATCAGAGTTTATATTTATATCTAAAATTAACTAAGTCAATATTATTATTACTTCTATTATATCTAATTACTTAAATTATTAATATGTTACTGATGTGATATTAATATTAATGTCGAAATGGGAAGGGAATGTAACAGAGTTTTTAAAAAACTGTACATCTGGAAATAAATACTACTACTACTACATTAGGTAAAAGCACCAATTATTAATCATCTTATTTTTTCTATTGTATTAAAATGTAACATTGTTGAATTTTTTTTTTCCACAATTAGTTGATCAGTCTTTTTTCTAATCAAATTCATAATTTTTAATGATGATCAAGAAAATTTATTAATTAATTTTAAGTAATTAAATGGATTACTCAGATATATTAATTATTAACGGGTTGAAAAATTAAATGATCCGATTATTGTCGCCCATAATACGCATGTATTAGGGATTACCGTTCATTATGTTCCGAGAGTATTAGCGATTACTGTTGAGGTTAACAATGTACTTATGCTTGAATAAAAAGACGCTATAGCCCTGTCAATATGAGATTCACCTTTACAATTATGTACCAATTAATGACGTCCACTATTTTGAAATTAAAAATTATAAAATTTTCAGTAAATAAATAATATTCTTATTTTTTTCGATTTTATTTATTTATAAAAAAAAAATTTGATATTATTAAATGAGAAGAATAATTATAAAATCATAGTTTTAGAAAACTGTTTTTCTAGTTGTAATAGTTAAGAAAATTGATGCTCACGAGATATTTTTATAAACATTACAATTTTTATTAATAAATATTTAATATTTGTTACTAAAAAACAATTAGTTTTAATTTCTTGAATTATAAAAATAGTTTAAAAATGCGTACGATTATCATACTAAATAATAAAATAAGATAGAGCGTTAATAATTGGTACTTTTATACTTTATAAAAGTTTGAATTTTTAAAAAGTGCTTTATTGAGTTTGAGGTCTCTTTGAATGTTTTAAACAAGGACCGTGAATTGGACTAGTAAAATTAGCACGTTAATTGAGATCTTCATTGGGATTCGAGGAGCGAGTTATGTCGACTGAAAGACCACCAAGGAGATAAAGAGACCAAGAAAGACAGATGAAACTATAGTCGGTGAGTGGAGAAGGGTTCTTGACTTAGTTCTGAATAATACCGAGGATCAGTGCAACTAATAGAGTAGTGGCGAATTTCTATCCCCTAATGTACAAGCTTACTCACCAATACTATCCACTCCAACCGAGTTTTCTCCTCACTAAACCACTCTGGTAAAAGCGTCAAGTACCTCTGGACTATTTCACCATTAAATTATCTTCAAACTATTTGGTGGATGAGTATATAGATCTATCTATCTCTGTACTTTATGTACCGAAAATTCGTATTCCCAGGTAATCCTATACTAGCAGAGGAATGTACGATACACTCTGACAAAGAGCTTGAATTAATTGGCAGATCGAGCGATAAGGAGTGAATACGCCACATACGTATCAACAAAATTTCATTAACGTTATGTCAGGTGACATATTATGCAAAACTAAACGGAACCTAACAGATGTAAATGAGGAGAGCAAGAGAGTCTGGCTTTGGGAATGGTTTTGTTATAGCCTTTATCTACTATACTATACACGTTAACATGTGCATATGCATATGTACGTAGTAGGTACATGCTACTATGTTCAGAGTGTTACCTATCTGTGTAGATGCGACGCAAGTATATACCATTTGATAACGTTTCATTAGGCTGATGCGCTTGTAAAATGTATCTAGTATATGCGGATAATATGTAGATGGACAGCATGTGTATGCTGATAAGGTTTAAAATTACATTATGGTGATGAGTTACTCTTTGATAAGATTTAAATAATTGCAGACAAATTTCACTGGTTTACATTATCAAGATACTGTATACGGGATCATACAAGAAAATGTGTTGTTTAAGCTTTCAACGGACATTTGTTTTGATTTATAATTTAGAAAATTAATAAGAATTAATGAAAGAGGTAAATCTTTGATAATCTTTACCGTTTTATAGTAAATTTCATAGAAATCTAACCATTATTTTTGTTCTCATAATGAAATTTTTGAAAAATTTTGGTATTTTCCCACCGAGATTGTCAAAGTAGATTAAAAAATATCTTCGGTTCAAAAGTTTTTATATGTATGTATTCAGGCGATATAACTCGATTTGTCACAGCGAGAGAGCTTTAACGTAGTTCCAGCGTGGTATAGTATAGTCAGAGCATTTACTATGGACAAAAATTTAAAAGCCTCGGAACACAGACTTTCGCATATACAATTTTAATATTACATATTGTTAGTCTAGTGATCTGGCAACGTTGCTCTTCAAAACCGTGAAAGATTTGAATTTCCCGCTTTTTATGCTACACTATTTCAGGGAGCGTTGCGCACGGCGTTGCCAAATCACTATAAGTTGTTAAGTGAGCAGGTAAGAAATGGATCGAAATTTATTTTTTTAAATTATTATATCTCGATAACAAAACGGTGAGGTGCTATTTTTATTTTTTTAACTTATTCTAAAAACATTTTTCAACACTCTCCTAATTTTTTTTTTAAATTCTGTCGAGAGAATTTTTTAATATAATAAAAAATAGTTGGAGAGACCGGACATTTTACATACTTTAAAGGGAACGTGACCCTCAAAATCGCCAACTTTGACTTTAAATATCTCGCGATCTAAACGGTCAAAAATTATGAAAATTCAGGAATTTATAAATAAAGCTATTCTGAACCCGTAAAAAAAATTTCAGCCGAATCTGTCGAAAAGTGATTTCATGCTGGAACTACCTTAAATTTTTACTAGATCTTTATCAAACTCAACATAGTTATTCCTTAGACGATTCACGAGAAAAGTTTGAACATAGTTCAAATCGATCAAATAGTTTAGAAATTGTAGCAATTCAAAATTTTTAAAAAATGCTAACGCACTTTAGTGGTTCTTTTTGGAATGACTTTTAAGTGCGATAATTGATCTAATTTTTGTAAAATGTGTTAAGAATTTCATTCGTAAATTTATATTTTCAAATAAATATGACTTTGTAATGATAATGAATTTCATAAAAAAATCAAATTTTATTATTCCACTGTATAAAAAAATTCATGAAATTTGATTCACCTTTTTTTCTGTTTAGTAAGAAAATATTAAAATATTTCAATGATTAATTTATATATAAAGTCGTATTTATTTAGGAACATGATTGTAAAAAATAAAATTCATCATAATCATAATACAATTTTTTTTTGCACATGCTGTTAAATATTCTTTTTTTTTTAACATTATATTAAATTGAAAATTCTTCCATTCTTTTTTCAATTCAATAACCCAAAATTATTCATATTGGCGTTAATTATTTTCAGGTGTGTTATTGATAAAAGTATCAATTTCAAATACATATTTTAATGAATTATAAATAATAAACGCCGTAATTATTAATTAAATTACATCCACGGTTGATAAATTTTTACGGTAACTTATAATTAAAATTAGTCAATACAATGCGTGACATCGCAATCATACGATAATAAAAATTATAAATAAAGTCATTCTTCTCGTTACTTCCGCATGGGCTTAATTACCAAACAGAATGCATGACTGACCCGGGGTAATTAAACTCTCAATTAATGTTAATTATAATTAAAACGATAGCATGTAATTATATTTTTAGAATGATACTCATCGACATCCACCGCATTGTTGAGTCTGTAATGCGTCCTATAGGTAACATTACGCGTATTTTATTCAAGAGCTTTTGCAATTTTGCTTGTCGAATCGATCATAGTTGATTAAGTATTTATGACCAATCATTTCCAGTAGCTCGAGTGTACACGGTTACATTGATGGTACTTTGTCAATAGTCGATACCAACAATAGCTACCTAATTTAATCCCTTGCAAGCCCACTATCGTCACGAGAATGTCTTTATATAAAAATATTTTAAAATTTTATTCGACATACTATTTTATCGATTTTATATTTATATTTAAAAAAAAAAACTATAAAATTTATAATAAAAATAAGTTTTTTAATGAAAAATAACTTTTTAATTAAATTCAATAAAGTAATATTGATATCAAGCAAAAATGTTAATAAGTTGTTGGTAAAAAATAATTAATAACTTTTGTTTCATTCAAACTTTTAGTTTTTTATAAATATCGATTAAAATACTAAAGAATGTATAAACTAATAATTAATAAAAAGAAATTAAATATGCAGTGAAAGTTTAAATTAACGCAGTGAAAAAAAATAAAACCATTATCATTTTTATTAAAAGGTTGTTAAAATTTAAAGTTGATCATAAATAATTTATAAAAATGTCATACATTTATTGAATGAACGCTTGTTGTAATATAATATAAACATGCGTGGTAGTAAATGCGTGAGCGCGTGTGCAATGTGATAAAGCAATTGTGGTGGTAATGCCACCTGTAACTTAGCAAAGAATTCGCCTCCCACCATCCATCCACTAGTACTATTATGATCGCAAAGTTATTACTTTGATGCGAATCTTTACGTCATACCTACGGCTATTTTCCCGTGGGAGTTTAATTTAATTTTATTAAGTGACGCAAAGACAAAAAAATAGAAAAATTCAAGTGTCATTGGGCGTGGCAGAAAAATAACTCTATTAAATGTAGGTCAGTGGGTTTGTAATCTTATCGTAACTCGTTTTACAGCATTGGTGACTAAACTTACTTATAGTATAGTTGGAAGTTAAGAAGAAAAATAACTCGCTGAGATTTATTCACTGATCACATGATCAACATTTGTTTTATTTGAATTTCAGCACTGCACGTTTCGCATCCGGGCTCACATGGAGATTTTTCAACAACACAACTGAGGAATTAATTTTTTTTTTCTAGTGACAATTAAACGTACGACAGTAATTTTTATTGTAGACAGGCGAGTCTAAATTATCTAATCTCGATACGTCCAAGTTGAGTTATGCTTAAGGGCTTTGGTATT